CAGCAGGAGCAGGAGCAGGCAGGAGCATCCTCCCGAGCCAGGCACGGAGCCCTGTCCGCAGCAGCACTCACCAACAGGGCAACCCCAAACCAGGCACAATCCTGCCCTTTCCAGCCGCTGCCAGCGAAGGAAAGGCAAACCCCACGGAGCTCCCTTCCTCCCCGGGGTTATATTTAGCCCTCCACGCGCGGGCACGGCAGACAATGCACCCCGTGTGAGAACCGCGGGCGGGAGGAAACGCGCTCAATAGCCCCGACGACTTCCCGCATCCTGACATTGTCACTCCCCCCCCTCCAGCCACTTCCTCGTGTGGAGGCACCAGGATCGTGGTGCCCACCCTGGGATGGGTCCTACCCCTGCCAGCAGCTCAGGGCATTGTCCTGATGCGACACCGGGCGGGCAGGGGCTGCTGCCTGCAGAGCCGGGGCCTTTTCCTTGCGTGGGAAGGTGGGTGAGGTCTAAAAACAAGGAGCTGTGGTGGTCCTGGGGTGCTGGGGATGGGGAGTCAGCCCTGGGCTGTGGCTGCTGGAAAAGGCAATGCCGAGTGGGAATGGAACATGTCCCACTGTAGCTGTCCCCAGTCAGGGCTCAAGAGGTGTGACTGCTCCTGTCCCACGGTATTTCAGGGCTTTTGCCGGCCACAGAAGGAGCCACCAGGCCCAGCCTGCAGGGAGCCGTGGCAGGGAGAGGCAAGTGAGATGTGAAGGCTGGGAAAGGACTCCACTGCTCTTGGGAAAAGGGCAAAACTGGAGCCTGGGAAAAGCCTGGGCTGGGAGGGAGCAGATGTCCCCAGGGGCTGAGGGGGACACGCTGAGGGAACGAGCTGTCTGCTCTCCCGTGCACCCTCTGGGTCCCCAGGCCATGGGGACACCATGCCGTGGGCAGGGCCAGAGCGTCCTGGAGTCGCTGCACTGTGCCGGGACAGGACACAGGAATGTGAGTCCCTGCGGCTCCCCCCACCAGCTCCCACACTGCTCCTCTCTCCCAAAGCATCATCATCCTGGGAAGGGGCCGGCCGGCCCTGGGCCATCCCCGTGCCAGCGCAGGGTCACAGCGTCCCCAGCCCCGCACAGCTGGTGCGTCCCTGTCTGATCTCACCGGACGTCCGCTGCCGCCATCCAGGTGTGCTGAGGGGCTGGGGGGGTCTCACTGCTCCCCATCCTGCACAGCAGCTGCCCCAGGCCCCTGAGCCACCCCAGGGACACGAGGCACAGCTGGCTCCCGGCATCCTGCCTCTGGAAACCGCCACCTGCTTCTCTCGTGAGCTGCTCCCGATGGACAGAGGGGGCAAACCCGGCCCTGGGCAGGGCAGAGGGTCTGTTGGGAAGCTGCAGCCACCCTCGGAGCCAGCAAGGCAGCAGGGCCCTGCCAAGGGCACCACAGCCACCTTTGAGCCCCCTGAGCCTGGGACATGGCCACACGGGCTGGGCAGGGACAGGGAGCACTTGTGGCTGCTGTGGATTCAATCCCTGCTCCATGGCACTAGGCAGCCGCAGCCGGCTCTGGACACAGGGTTTTTACCATAATGCTTTATTCAGCAAAGCTGCCTCTGGCTCTTCATGAGCCGCTGTGGCTGCTCACCCCAGCCCTGAGTGCCTGACAGCTCCTATTCTTGTCCCGCTGGCGCTTCCCAGGCAGCACATTGTTGGGATTCAATGGGAGGAAGGGTGGGCTCAGGAGAAAGGCGACGGGGCTCTGGGAAGCGGCTTCACCCCTGTCCCAGCGCCTGCGCGAGTCCACAGCCCCACAGCCAGGGGGACAGAGGGAGTCCCTGGACACAGGGAAAACAGCTGGAAGCACCACAGGCAGCCACGACAGGCAGGGCAGGGACTGTCCTGCCAGGTGCCATCAGCACCCAAACTGTCACCACCAGGGCTCAGCCCTTCCCAAGGACATCACTCCACAGCCCCCCCGACCGGCACCGCATGGGCCCAGGAGAGGAAACGGGGCAGCGAGGCCCCCCCAAAGCCCAATTGTGCCCGGCCAGCCCTGGGAACAGGCGGATCAATGGGCTATAAACAGCCGGGGCAGCCACTCTGGCGCGGGGGGAACAAAGGCATTTTGGAGCCGCTTCCGAGCTGGTCCCAGCTGGGGAAAGGGACAGCACCGTTCCCACCCCGGCACACAATAGGGAGCAGCCCTCACCCCACAGCCAGGCTGGGAAAGCAGGCGGCCAAGGACAGGGGCTACTTCAGGGGACAGTGCCAGCCAGCCAGGGGGACAAGGCAGTGGCACTGCGATCCCCAGGGCAGGTGGCAGTAGGACGGGGTTAGGACAGGCTTTGCATCACCCCCCAGACTCCTCCTGCACCTTCTTCCCCAGGCTCAGCAAACCGTGGTGGCAAAGGCTGGAGCATTCCTGGGCCGTGAGCCCAGCCGAGGGCAGCGATCCAGCCCAGGACAGCAGCTGGGGAGGCAGAGAGAGCCGGGGCAGGGCAGTAAAGCTGTCAGCGGGGCAGGAGCTGGCCCCGAGGCTGCAGGACGGTGTGTGTGAAATGCTGACTGGTTGCTGACTCGGGGCTCTGCTCTGGGCATGGCAGATTTATGGTCCCCGGGAGGGGAAGGCCGGGCTGGGGCAGCACTGGGGCCTTGCTCAGGCACCACGGGAAAAAACAAGCCGGGAGGCAGCGATAACCCCGGTCCTGGCCCCCTGCTCAGCACCTCTGGCCAGGCTTTGTCCCTGCTCTGCCAGCAATGCCCGAGGCTGGAGGGGACACCAGCCACCAGTCCCAGTGCTCACTGCCAGCCTCTCCCTGGCCAGCACCCCAGCAGGACCCCCCCAGTCCCTTGGGACCCCACGCAGCACTGAGGCAGCCCTTGTCACCGAGATAAGGAGGTGGACGGGAAGCAGATGACGCAGCTGGGGGAGCCAGGAGGGAGGCACAGCCGCAGCATGGGCTGGATTTCGGTGCCTTCCCCTCCTTCCTGCCCACCACCCCTCTGCCAGGCCCCGAGAGCAGTGCCCGGCTGGGGACAGCGATGGCATTTGTCCCACTGCAGGAGTCGCTTCTTGAACACACAGGAGCAGAGACACTCCCTGAGCCAGGGCTGGGGCCCTGCTGATGCAGAAGACACAGAGGCCCGAGGACTGACAGAAGTTTATTGTGGCAGAGGGCAGAAATCCCCCTGCTCCCCACACACCGCCACGATGGAGCAGGGCCAGGACTTCCACCTGCCTCTGTCACCCTTCCTCGCAGGGACGATGCAGAGACGGGTCCCCAGAGATCTCCACCACTGCTCAGGCTCCCGTGGGTGTAACATGGTAGCGTGGGGCTGTGTTGGGGTTCACCAAGAGCCTCTCCTGCTGCCGGTGCTCAGCCTGACCCCATCTCACGGCACTCAGGTCCAACCTCCTTCTACGTGCAGGCCATGGAAGAAGCCAAACCTGAGGAAACACAGGCGGAACCAGGCCGGGAGGGTTCTGTGGCTCAGGTGCCAGGCCGGGCCGGGGGCTGATGAGTTCCAACCACACCACAGCTGCTCGCAGGGCCCCCTGCCCGCTCTCACCGGGCTCTGGGGGCTGTTCCTCGGCCACATCCAGGGGGTGGGCAGCCCGGAGGGCCCGCAGGGTGCAGAGCCGGGCCTGTGGCAGCCGTGCAGCGCCAGGGCAGTGCCGGCAGCCGCCCCAGGGCACGGCCCTCGCCCCGGGAACCCTTTATTAACTCTTTTCGGGGCGGTTCCTGTTGAGCACGGCCCGAGGGGCGAACTCCAGCTTGTCCTTCAGGCTCACCACCTTGGTCAGGTCCTCGCCCGCGATCTCCTGCAGCTTGCGGTCCTCGCGCAGCTCCGAGATGCTCTTCTCGTCCTGGGCCGTGGCCGGGGGGTCCCCGCGCAGGAACCACTCCAGCTGCGAGCCCACCAGCCCCACCACGAAGGCCACCGGGAAGGTGACGTAGGGCGCCTTGGAGCGCACGGCCGCCCACAGCACGGACCACATGGCTGCGGAGAGCGCAGGGAAGCGGCACCGCCCGCGCCCCCCCCCAAGCCGGGACCCCCGCCGGGCCCGCAGGGACCCCCGCCCGGCCCGGCCCGGCCGCGCTCCCCGGGCCCGGCCCCGCCCGTTCCGGTCACCGGCGCCGCCGGCGGGGCCGCTCCGCCCCCTGGCGGAGACCGCGGGAACTGCAGTGCGGGAGGAGCGGCGGGGACGGGACACGGGGGACCACGGGGGACAGGGGGACAGGGGGACGGGGGACAGGGGAGACACGGGGGACAGGGGGACACGGGGGACACGGGGGACACGGGGGACAGGGGGACAGGGGGACACGGGGGACAGGGGGGACAGGGGGACAGGGGGACAGGGGGGACAGGGGGACAGAAGGGACACGGCGGGATATGGGGTACAGGGGGTGACGCCCATGGGGAGACCCACGGAAGGAGACCCGCTGTGCGAGTCACAGGGGGGCAGTCACGGAGGGGAGTCGTGGGGGGAGACAAAGGAGTGGCCCAGGGGGTTGTCTCGGAGGGGGAGTCACGGGAAGACACCCACGGGGGTGTCACAGAGGGATTCACGGGGGGAGAGCCACGGGGTGTTCACGGGGGGTCATGGTGGGAGACCCACGGTGGGAGTCAGGCCAGGAGTCATGGGGGAAGGCGTGGAGACACCCACGAGAGGAGATCCATGGGGAGACACACGTGGAGATAACCACAAGGCGAGACACATGGGAAGAGTCACGTCATGACACCCACGAGGAGACCCATGGGGGGAGACTCAGAGAGAGAGAGACCCACTGGGAGAGAGCCATGGGGTGACCCATGGGGACACCCACGGGGACATCCCCATAGGCAAAAAGCCATGGGAAGAGACCCACAGAGAGACTCGTGGGAGGTCTCCATGGGGAGAACCATGGGGAGACTGTAGGCACTCCACAGGAGATCTACTCCTGCCCCAGTGAGAGCCCCTCTCCCAATCCAGGGACACGCATTTCCCACCTCTCAGACACCTCTCCCACCCCTCAGACAACCCCTGTCCCACCCCACGGACTCAAAGGGACGGGAGACAGGTGAAAGGCGAGCCCGGCGCCGGCCGTGTCCCCGCGGGGAGGCGGCTGCTGGCCCGGAGTAACCAAAGTCATCTTTATTAATTGCGGCGGTTCGTTACAATAAAAAGGGAGCCACGTGTCACGGTCACTGCACGGCGCTGGCCGGGCCGGGGGGCCCTTCCCAGGCACATCCCTAAATCCGGGGTGCAGGGGGAGCAGGGTGGGGAAGGGCTTCGGGTGGCTGGGTGGGCGCTGCTGTCACGGAGGTGTTTAGCACCGAGGGACCCCAGCGAGGCGTCCTGCTGCTCGGCCCCGGCCCCCCCAGCTGCCTCCAGCCCCACCGCCCTGACCGAGGGCATGGGGGAGGTTTGGCCCTGGGTTTCAGGAGCTACCTGGAACCCACCGGCCCTGCCTCGGGGGTGGCTGGTGATGCTGCGTGGGGCTGCTGGCATGGCAAGGGACACGGGTCGGGCACAGGATGCTTGGAGAAGGCCTGGGAATGGGGATAAAGACAGGGATGGGGCAGATGCAGCTTCATGCCCCACCACACTGCTCTGCCCTGCAGGGGACCACTGGGGGCTCCCCCCACCCTGTCCCAGGCCCTGTGCACAGCGATGGAGGAGCTGGGAGCAGCCACATCCCGGGGTGTCCCTTGGCCCCGGGGGGCACCAGGTACATGACAGCCCCATCTTGGGCTGTCCCATCCTGCAGGGCACCGGGAGCTCGGGGAGAAGGAGTGACCTGCCAGGGGGATCTCTAGCAGCCCCACACTCAAGGGGCAGCTGCTGGCCATGTCCACGCTCCCGTCCCAGCCAGTGGTGCCAAACCCAGCTGTGGTCCCTGGCACCACAGGTAGGAACAGGCTGCAGGCAGATCTCCACTGCTACCGCCTCACCCACACACCAGGGAAGGGTCTCCCACCGGCAGAGAGGCACAGGGGGCTGTGTTCCCTGTCCCTGGCTACTGCCACACTGCAGAGGTGCTCCCAGACTCCAGGATGGCAGGAGGGAAGGCGGGACAGATGAGGGATGGGCTGAGCGGGAAGGGGAGAAGCGCGTGGCGATGCTCCGTGCGAGGGAAGCAGGGTGGCTCGCCGTGACCGGGGGTCTCTGCTGCACTGGTCCGTCCCACCAGGCAGGACACAGCGCTGGTCACGTGTAGTTTCTGGTTTATTCCTTGGGTTATATTTATATATGTATATAGGGAAGGGAGCCCTGGGTCCCCGCCACACCTGAGCCGCAGGTGGGGGGAGCAGCGAGGGGACCTCTTTGTCCCTGCCGTGTCCCAGCGGGGCTGGGCAGCAGGGCTGGGGGGCTCTGGCCGAGCAGGGGCTGGGGGTCCATCCCTGCCGCACACCGGGGGATTGCACTGAGTACAGAGAGGCGGGGGGGGCCTGCCTGCAGCCCCCTCCCCTCCAGCCCGGCGGGGTCGGGCACTGAGGGTCACCTCTCTTTGGGTGGGGATGCAGAGGGGGTGTGCAGAAGGGCTGGGGAGTGGGAAGGGGACAGAGAGCTGGGACACAGCCCCAGGGAGGGCAGAGGGAGGGAGAGCCCCGGACCCCAGGAGAGGCTGGCAGGGGCATGCGGGCAGGGCGGGGGCAAGGGGACGGGGCAGAACCGGGCTTGCGTTCACCCGCCGTCGGATCCACGAAAGGTCTAAGATAGAAAAGAGAGAAGCTGTGAGTGGGGCCAAGAGCTGCCCCAGGGTGTCCCCGCGGCCCCCCATCACAGTGAGCTACGGCCGCGCCGTGCAGTCCGGGTAGAAAAGCGGAGGCTGCGGTCACAGCCGGGTCTGTGCCTCGGGGATGTAGATCTCGATGCTGTCCGCGCTCTCGGTGGCCGAGCTCTGGCGGAAGGACGCGGCCCTCTTGGCTGCCAGGAGCCGCTTGCGGGCCTCCTGCCGCTGCCGGTCCACCGAGTCCAGGGAGCGCTCCTTCACCGGGTGCACCTTGGAGCGCGGCGGCTTCTTTGGTATCGGGGGAGGCACCTTCTTCTCCTCCTGCACAGACAACACGGGCTTCAGGCTGGCACCTGCCGGGACTGGGCATCCCCAGCGGACCCGGTACAGCCGGTGCCAGTGCACAGCAGTGCCGTGGGTGCCAAAGCCATGGTGAGGGGCCCCACAGGCCCTCCTAAATTGTGCCCAAGTTACAAGGCAGGACTGCAAGGAGGAGAAGGGAGGGAGAAGTGACAGGACAAGTGCCAGTGGCAGAGCCCTGCCCTTACCTTGGGCTCCACAATCTTCCACCCGTTGGCCTTGAGCTGCTGGAGCTCTGCAAACTTCATGCTGACGTCCTCAATGGAGAGCTGCAGGAGGTCCCAGAATCCGGCCAGGTCTTGGAAGGTGGGCACAGGGAATGCGTTGGGATCCTGTGGGGACAGAGGGACAGAGTCTTAACCACGCCCACCTGTGGGACATCAAGGTTGGCTGTGTGGCCATCCCACCCCCTAGTGCTGGGAGGAGCTCTTTGTCCATCTCTCCTCCATGCTGGTACAAAATCTGTTTTCCACTGAATGAGATCCCCCACCCTCCACAGCTGACCCACAGCACCACTGCCCACACTCACCATGTTCTGCTGGCAGAGGCGGTAGAACTGCTGCACCTTCTGGGACATGAGGAGCTGGGCACTGCCCACCGCGCTCCGGATCTTCTCCAGGACTGGGGGGAGAGCAGACACTCAGCACTCCCGGGGGGCACAGAGACTCTCCCCTGTGCACTGGGGACCTGCACCCCCCAGGTAGTGGGACACCATGAGCAGCTCAGACCCCTCCAACACATGCCATGTCTCCTCCCTCCTCCAGACCCCTCTAGCCCCAGAGGGTTTCCCCACGTGTCTTACCCTCACCCAATCTCTTCAACCACAGCAGGGGAGATGTTTTAAGGCAGGACTGTGACTGTGCCCCTCAGCTCTACAGAACCCCCAGTCCCTCTCAACCCTGCAGCCCCCTGACTCACTCTCCTCAGGCAGGTCATAGTCCTCGGCCTCCCTCTCCATCTGCTGGCACCAGCCCTCCATCTTCTCCACCTCCGCCTGCAGCAGTTTGATGAACCACTCGCCGTCGCGGTGGCAGGGGGAGGCGCGGCCGGAGTCGGGGAGGCTGCGGGAGCCCCGCTCGATCCAGGCGTCCCGCCGGGGCACCTCCACCGTGTCGTACTGCAGCTGGTAATCCTCCCGGTACGCCCACTGCCCCTGCGTGTGCACCGTCTTGTACACGGCGTACTGCCGGCCCGACTCGGGCTCCGACGAGTGCCGCTGGAACGGCCGCCCGAACTGCAGGGCCTTGTCCTCGGTGGCCACGGCCAGGCCGGTGAAGCCCTCCAGCTCCAGGTCCGCCTGCACGCCCGCCGTCACGCTGTTGGAGCGCTTGAACCGCGCCCGCCTGCGGAGAGCGAGACTGGGTGGGGACCCTCACAGCCACGAGGGACCCTCACGGCCACGGGGGACCCTCACGGCCAGAGGGGGTGTCCCCGCTGTCCCATTCCCCCCGTGGGTACTGTGGTGGGCAGGAGCAGGGTGAGGGATGCCCACAGGTAGGATGGGGCTGGGGATGCCTGTCTGGATCCCGGAGCACTCGGGGCCCCTGGGGACAACCCAGAGCAGCTGCAACCCGCCAGTCCCTCATCTCCCCTGCTCTTAGCCCGTTTCCATGGCTACCGGCGCTGGACCGAGGATGGAGAGGAGCCTGCACGGGCTGCGTGGGCACGATGCCTGAGCTCCGCTCCCGCAGGCCATGCAGGTCCTGGCACACCTGGCATTCCCACCCCAGCCAAAATGTCATGGTTAGCTGCAGAAACGCCCAAAGGTTCATCTGCACCTGGCCCGGGCTCAAAACCCACGGCCGAGCCCAATGGAGGAGAGCTGGCACAGGGTGGGAACAGGGCAGACCCTTCCCTGGGCAGCAGCAAGGGCAAAGGGGAGGCCAGATTCTGCCCCAGATGGGGGCAGCTGGTGTGGGATGGGGATGGTACTGAGATCTGGGGGTCTCAGCCAGAGGGGAGAGGGAAAAGATGCTGTGGGGCAGTGGTGGTATGTGGAGCTCAGGGAGCCCGTGGGGACCCAGTGCCCCTGTGCAGTGAGCATGGCAGGTCTCACCCCAGTCCAGCCATGCAATACCTTTTGTCCTCCTCCACCTGCACCCCGATGGAGTGGAACTCCCTCTGGCTCCGGCTCTCCGTGTCTGAGTCTGAAACGGCCTCAACCTGGCGAGGGGCAGAGGGAGAGCGCTGGAGAGCAGCCCCACTTGCAGCATGAGGCTCAGCATCGCCCACGCCCCTCGGGCAGCCCACGGGGAGGAGCGGAGCCCACCTGGACGCCGATGGACGGGCGCCACTTCCGCTGCCTTGCCAAGCTCCGCAACTCCTCCCGGCCGGGAATGGCCTTGATGATGAGGGTGGAGGGCTTGGGAGCGGCGCGGGGCTGCACCGGGGGCAGGTCCAGGGCCACGGCCGTCACCTTGGAGCTCTCCAGGCTCTCGGCAGAGTTGCAGCGGGCCGTGGCGTCCTTGGACCAGGCAGGGCCGCGGGAAACTTCGCTGGGCAGGTAACTCTCGTGGGTGGACTCGGTGCTGCTCTGCGCCGTGACAGAGATGAGGGGTTTGGCTTTGGTTCCTGGAGGGATGGGAGGTGGAGCTTTTCTGTAACTGAAGGCTGTTGTGGGAGAGGCGCAGGATGAAAAGGCACGTGAAAACACAGAAACTTGCTCATTTTCCGCCACAAACAGGGGCCCCAGGGAATGGTGCCCACCTCCTCCCACAGCACAGGGCTCTCGGCCCCACAAGGTTTGCCCCTCAGCTGGCTGAGATCCAGGCTGGAGCTCAGAGGGGCTGTTTGGCCACTTTTGAGGGTCAGAAACCACCCCAGACCCATGCTGGCCACACTGCTGCACCACCCCAGAAATGGAGGGAAGGAGGGGATGGTAAATGGGTGCTGGGGACACTGAGCAGCCCCCTGACTGGGACTGAACCACAAACAGGATGCTCACGCCCTGTGCCATGGGCTGCAGGGGACCAGGGAGCAGGGGGGCAGCAGCAGCCCTTGGCAGGTGCCCAGGTGAACAGGCAGGGAGATGTGGGGGTCCCTCACGTGGCTGAGCCCGCACCACCCCCCGGGACTCACAAGTGCTGGGCTTCAGGATGCTGCTGGTGATGGGCGGCCCGGGGGGGGCCGACATGGAGAAGAGCGAGAGGCATTCGTCGTCCTGGGAGCATCCCGCCTGGATGGCCCGCAGGTAGCTGTGGCTCCGCATGCGGAAGCAGCCGGGCAGGTCCAGCGCCTCCACGGCCTGCGACTCCACCTCGCCGAAAACCGACTCGCACACGGCCTCAAACTGGTGGTTGAGCTCGTCGTTGATCTGGGGAGAGCGGCAGGTGAGGCTGGGAGTGGCGAGCCGGGGCAGGAGGTGCTCAGAGGGGCATCCACCACCCTCCTGCCCCATCCTGCCCCGCGGCACCCGTGCCACAGGACCTACCTGGCCGGTGGTGAAGGAGCGCCCGTAGCTCTGTCCCCGCGGGAGCATTCGCGGTGGCGTGCAGCAGCTGGGACAGTTACAGATATATGAATCAGAATAGTGCCTACTTGCAAACCTAATGAGAGACAGTGGGAACAGAAGGGATGGCACCAAAAGCAACACATTCCAGCAGAGCACTTGGAAACCCAGCTGCAGAGATGCTCCCGCCAGCCACCGCTGCTACCTGCCCCAAAAACTGTCACCCAGTGAGCCCGGAGCGCATCCCAGCCATCCCCTTTGAACGTGCCTCTTCTCCCCACGCTCTGCACGTGGCTGCAGCTGCAGGACCCCCCAAAGCCCAGCACAGCCGTGTCCCCCGCAGTGCCCTGACAGCGCAGACAGGGCTCAGTGTTGCCACACTGGGAGCATGGCAGTGAGCGGGGACGGTGCCATGAGCAGGGATGATGCCACTCATCCTCCCGGGGAGCCCCAGCCTGTGGCCCCGCTGCTGCCTGCAGTGCTGGGATGGGGCTGGGAGGCGACAGCCCTTACTTGGTCCTGGCCTGGTCGGCGCTGGAGGAGCGGCGGTAGCTGTCTCGCCGCGTGGCCGCCCTGGGCAGCACTTTGGAGCTGATGTCGGAGTCGGCGCTGTCCTCGTCGCCCATGGCCTTGATGTAGCTGCCGCTGCGCATCCGCCGGCACGGGATCTCCCCGTCCTTGCCCGCTGGGTACCCGCTCCACTCGTCCTGTGGCACCTGGAGCAGGAGGCGAGCATGGGAGGACGCGGTGGCCGGGGTCCCGCAGGCGGGACACAGAGCCGAGCCACGTGCCAGCCCACGCCCATCCCAAATCCAGCAATGTGCCCACCTCCCGTGCCCTCCCCACACACCCCAGAGCTGCATGGACAGACCCCAGGGGCTCTGACCCCTGGTAAGGCCCTTAAATCCAGGAGAGGTGATCCCTCCTGACAGCCACAGCTCCCCGTTCCCAAAACGCGGGGCAGCCGCAGCTCCCACCTCGCGGCCCCTCTGGCGGGAGCGTCTGGGCCAAATCCCACCCATGCCAGCGCAGCGCCCGCCTGACGTAGCAGGCACCAGTCCCACCACGTGAGCTGACGCCAGCACCACCAGCACCACGGGGTCCTTACCGGGCTGTGACAGGGGGACGGTGTCCCCCGGGGCGCGCGGGGAGGGCGGTGGGGCCGACACCCTGCCCCGGTGCCCCCGCTGCCAGCAGAGATGGGCCCCAGCCACCCCCACCCCCAGCCCACACGGCATTGCTGCTCCCTGTCTCCTTCCCCCGGGAAAGGGAGACAAGAGTTAATTAGTTTTTAATTGGAAGGGGGGTGACCTAGAAGGGTGACAAGGCAGGCGGTGGCACTGAGCCAGGCGCACAGGCAAGATAAAAGCCATGAGGAGCGAGTGGGTGCAGGGTTGCTGGTGGCCCCGAGCTGACAGAGCTGGTCTGACCCCAAATCCAGCTTGCACGGGGCAGGAGGCAGCACATGGGCTTCGAGGGGACAGCAGGGACCGGCGCAGGACCCTGGGGGATGCGACACAAGCGCTGGGGACACAGAGCAGAGCTGGAGCATCCCCACAGCATCCCGAGCTGCTGGATGGAGGATCCCAGCCCCGGCTCGTCCCAAGGCACCATCAGCCACAGTCCCCTCGCCCTGCCTGGCCCCTCACCTGCAGGTACTGGTAAGCTCGGTCTTTGGCCTTTGCTTCCTGAAGCATCAAGGTCTTCTCGGTGCCACCAGCGCTGGGATAGGCTTCCCGGGCCTGGCTGACGGTCATGGTGTGCCAGGCGCTCCTCTTGAGCGTCTGGCCGTCCAGAGACATGGACATGCCGGCACAGGCCAGGCATTTTCCTTCCCCGCCGCCCTTTAGACTCTTCAAGGTCAAGTCTCTGAAGGCACTTTCGGGAGCGTCCACGCAGTACTGGGTGCCCTGGTCGGCGGCGTGCCGGCCGGACACCATGTAGCTGCTGTCGCTGTCCAGGTTGTCGTCGGAGCTCCACCAGCCCAACATCTTGGACCGGTGCCGGGAGTCCACCTTGCGGTCCTTGCTCTTGCTGCGCTTGCCGTGGCGGGACTGGTGGTGGTGGTGGTGATGGTGGTGGTGGTGGTGGTGGTGGTAGCCGTCCCCGCGGCCGTCCATCTTGGCGCCGTTGTAGTCCCGCTTGGCCGGCGCCTCCAGGGAGTGGGACTTGGCGAAGAGCTTCTGGACGGAGTGGACGAGGTGGCGGATGCGGCTGGGGCTCTCGCTGCGGGGCTCGGCGCCGCCGGCCCGCGGGTACTGCAGCGTGTGGAAGCCGTCGTGGTGCAGCGGCAGCTGCTTCTCGAACTGGTCCAGCAGCGTGGGGGGCAGGCGGTTGATCTTGCTGGAGGGGTGGGCGGTCGCCATGCATTCGTCGCAGGAGTCGTAGGGCTGCTGCGCGTGGTGCATCCTCGGGAAGGTGCTGCTGGCGCTGGCGGAGGGCGGCTCGCTCAGGGGCCCGCCCGGGCACTCGCTGGCCGCGCCGGGGCTCCGCGCCGGGCAGTAGGGATGCTCCAGGGAACACGGCTCGCTGGGGCTGAGCAGGTAGGGCGGCCGGCCCTCGGGGCCGTGCGGGATGTAGTCGGCGGGACGCTCGCAGTCCTCGGGGATGCAGCGGCAGCGGTGGCCGGAGGAGGGCTGTGTCTGGCTACGCTCCCCATGGTAGCCCTTCATGGTGTCAGCATCCTGCCCGTAGCCTCGGCATCCTGCAGGGTTGTCCCTGCAGGCTCATCTGTGGGGACAGGGACAGGCACAGCGTGAAGCTCCCCTCTGCACCTCACCACCAGCAAAACATCGGGGCTGGCCCAAAGCAATGAACTGAGGGGACTGGGAAGCTCCCAGGGTGGGATTCGGCCCTGGCTGAGCCCCTGTGAAGTGATAGAAGGGGGGCACAGTGCTGGGGCTCGGTACCCGGGGTTACCCCCAACTCAGCTTCTTGGAGGGGACAGGGTAAGGAGCAGGCACTGACAGCAGTGATGCAGGCAGCAGGGCCTGCAGACGGTGAGGAAGGACATGCTGCCATCAGCAGATCCTTGTTTTCTTCTCCAACACCAAATATTATGAAGTGTTTCTCCATTAGGAGAACGGTTCTGGCTGAGTTTTTCAGCCGCTGCGATTCACAGCCCCGCTAATGAGCTGCCGCGGGGCGGGGGGGGCCACGCTCTGATGGCTCCATCCATCCTATCCTCCCCTCATGGAGCATCCAAATGGAGACCCACAACTCTGACCCCTCTACCTGCCACACCCCCGGGCAGGGGGCCAGCAGCAGAGGTGGCTGTGCTGTGTGTGGGGCAGCCCCACACTGAAACAGGAGCAGGGATGGCATCGAGCCAGGCTGAGCCCGTGCCAGCCGCCGGAGCCGCCTGCACCCATGGAGGTTTGTGTTCCTTACGGTCCCTCAAAGGCTCTGCCTTTGGTTTGACTGTAAATGAGGAAATTACTTATTCTCCAGAGCATCTCAGCTAATTAACAGGCATAGTTAATGCTCTTGTTATCATATTTGGGCAGGGTGCTGTGGGCAGCACGTCTCCGAGACTGGCTGCGGGGCAAGGTGACTGTGGGACGTTCCCTGCAGCACAAGGGGTGTGTTAGACCACAGGGACTGGACATGAGGGACACTGGGAGGGTCAGGGCAGTGTGGGAGGGGGTTGTGTGCCCCGAGGAGCCCCGGAGGACAGAGCAGCTGGGGGTCCCCAGCGGGTGTGGGGATGAGCAGTGATGGCACATTGGCCATGAAGGGCAGACCGGGCCCTGCTAAGCCACTGGCACCACCTTCCTTCCCAGCTCCGGGGCTGGATGCTCCATCCTGCACGGCTCCCCACCCTCACCATTGTGCTCCTGCTCTAACGAGGCTCCCTAATTGCTGTGTCTGAAGGGAAGGAGGCTGCAGCTGCTATAGAAGAGGCCTCTCCCCTCCCGGGAGAGCTGCTGCGAGGAGCGGGAGCAGCAGGGTGGGATGGAGCTGCCTCCCTGCCCGGGGATCCAGCAGCAGGATGGACGGACGGACAGACAGACAGGCAGACAGGCTCCCAGCCCGGCCCTGCCTCTGCGAGCTGAGCTATCATCTCCTCCTCGGGGAGGGAACGCTCAGCTGATCCAAATATTGCTGCTGCAGCGGGAAGAAGGAGTCAAAATATCTGCGGAGCCCGTCACCACGAGCCTGCCGGGCTTTTGTGCTCGGCAGGTGCAGGAATTCAGCAGCGCCGGAACGCGCCGGAGAGGCAGCGCCGCGGCTCCCCCGCAGCTGCCGAGCGATGGCAGCAGATGGGGCCGTGCCACGGCGAGGGATGCACTTCCCAGCTCACCAGAGCCATGCCAGCACCTGTGTCCTGCCCAGGGAACAGCCGGTCCCCCCCGTGGGCACCCTGGGGATGGGGAAGGGCTCAGGAGAGATCCTGAGGGGCTCAGCACAGGCAGCACAGCCTGTCCCTGTGTCCCAGTGGGGATGGCCACACACAGAGGATGGGAGAAGCCTCCAAGCCTGCTCCTCTGCTCTGTCCCAGGAGGGCACTGAGGGCAGGAGGCTGGCACATGGAGCTGGGGGAGCTGGACTGAGCTTGGCTCATGGGCTGAGGGCTGAGAGCTGGAGCCGTGTCCCACCAAAGGCCATTCCACTGCTCAGCTCTGGGGACAGAAGGATTTGTGCCACCAAACCACAGACTCAAATCAGGGGGGAAAAACCCAGCCCGGCTGAATTTTGTGCCATTTAACACCGGGGTAATTACCACCAGTGGGAACCTACCACCCACACAATTATGTGCTAGGATAAACTGGAAGAACATAATTACCATTACAAATAACTCACTCCTTGCCTTTATTGCTTCCAGAGCCTCGAGAAACTCCCACCGGCCACTCCTCATTGCCACCCTCCCTCTGAAATGTCTCCCTGCCTGCAGGTCAGCACAGGGAGGACAGGGACTTGTAGTCCCCATGTGCTCTGAGCCACCCCAAAATTCATCCTCCTGCTTTATTTCCCACAGGAGCACTTGGCAGAGGCGGTTCCACTTCCCAGCATCCGCCCCATGAGATCCCTGCCTTGGAGGCAGCTCTGTGCCGAGGCCCAGGGCTGTGAGGATTCAGGGCAGCCCCAGCAGGAGCCTGAGCTTCCCTGGGACCCTGTGGCACCCGGGCTCTGTCCAGCTCTGGGAGCACCAGTGGGGAGGTGACAGGACAGCAAATCCCCAGCACGATGGCTGTGTCTGGCAAACTGCCCTGGGGCAGGGCAAGACTGGGTTTGCCAAGGTTTCCTGGTCAAACCCCGAGAGCTGGGGTTGATGGCCCCACACTCAAGGGGGTCCTGGCCCCTCGCCCTTCCCAAGCAGCCCCTGGCAGGGGCAGCAGGGGGGTCCTGGCCCGTCACTCACCGCCCGGCGCTCAGGGGGATGCTGTCCTCATGGCCCCGGCCGGCAGCGGCTCCTCCACGCTGGGTGTCCCGGGGGCAGCAGGCTCTGCGGGAGGAACACGAGGGGGATGAAACCCGGGGAGGAAGAGCCAGGATGTCCCTCCCCAGAACCCGCCTGACCCACCTCCCTGTGTGTTCTTTATCAGCCCAGCCTTCCCTCCTCCCCTGAGGCCGCCCCACACCAGTGCTGCCTGCACCAGCGGTGACAGGGACAGCTCTGCACGGCCACGGCCACGTGTTTCACCCAGTTTAGCCCAAAAACCATCCCCAGCCCCATCCTGTTATGCAATTCCCTGCCAGCGGGTGCCGGAGCTGGCCCAGCGGCCACCTCGCCATCGACTTTGATTTGCTCCAGATCCAGCCTCACACTCCACAAAGCCTCCTCCCGCCACCCCAGCCTTCCAGCGTCAGCAAAGGGACTTTTTTTCCAGCCTCCAGCCCAGGAGAGGCGCGAGCTCGGCCCGTTCTGCTCGGTAAATTAGCGCCAGGTTCTGCCAGCACAGGTCCTGCTGGGGACCTTTATGGCTTGGGATGAAAGCAGGAGAGAACAAACACGCAGCGTGAGCGCCCGGCACCACGAGCTGGAGCCTGGGAAAAAAATAAAACAAAGTGCTTTTCCCACTTAGGGGCTGAACAAATTTGATCTACGGTCGTCGGAAGAAAATAAATATGGAATACCGCCAGGTCGCTTTCCACCGCGCTTTTAATCTATTTACTCTTTCCCAATTCATTGTAAGTGAGCAGGATTGTGGAAAGCAAACATTTTATTTTATTACTAATTGCTCTGTTATTTTATGAGGCTGAATTAGTAAAATTTACTCAGCCTGGAGGAAAAGAAAAGTGGGGCTTAGTAAGAGATCAGCTAATTTAGCACAGGAAGGGGAAAGGAAAGGGGAAGGGGGAAGGGGAAGGGAAAGAGGAAAGGAGTGTGAGCAAGATGCAAATGTCACAGCAAACGTGCTCGATGCGATCAGGAAATCAAACCCAGTTACTGTTAATAAAAGCAAACAGAGTGGCTGCAGGTGGGCACTGCCCACAGAGGGCTCTGAGGGGCCGGATCCAACTGGGCACTGCTGGAAAGAAGGGATGAGGCAAGATTTTTAAAAAGTCATGAAAGACAAACAGCAGCTGAATAATTGCCAGTGTGAGGGGAGGCAGAAGCGTTTACCATGGCCTCTGAGAAGGGCTGGCAGCGTTGTGCTGCCCAGCACCCCGACAGAGCTGGGGCTCTGGCATCCCGAGTCAGGGCATCTCCTCTGGCTCAGCCCTGCCCTGGCACGTCCCTCCTCACTGAGTACAGGTGCTTCCCAGCACCAAACCCGAACCCACGGTGCCCCAGGGCTCCAGCCCAGCGTGGCCGCCCCGTTCAGCACGCTGGGAGGCTGAGGACAGGCCGTTCGATGGGCCGGGCACGTTATTAAGCACATGATTAATTTTGGCACCAGCCCCAGCTGCCTGACAGCTCCTTCTCAGGGCTGGGAGAGCGAGCGCGAGAGGTGCTGCCTCTGCTGATGCAGCGGTTGGTGGGATGAGAAATCCTGCAATGCAGCACTGCTTCTTAATGAGCCATTTGTCTTTGAGTCTTCTTCACTCATTACCATGCCGGGAGAGGGATGGGAGTTGCCCCAAGTCCCCATCTGAGCAATTACTCGTGGAGCAGAGCGAGGAAATACGGCCACGGCGTGCCCAGCTGCCAGGGATCCCGGCCCAGGCACTGGGACTCCCCAGCACAACACCAGTGCCTCTGGCTGCTGCCACCACGGGGGGAGCAGGACCCCCTGCCCTGCACAGCACACACAGCCCAGAGCCACCCAGCTGGACACCCTGGTCCCCAGAGCCGGTTCCCTGGGACAGGAGCCACGCTGCTGTGACAGGGTGTGTGAGGGAGCCGGAGCATCCTGGAGCTGGCAAGGCAAAGCCAGCAGAAGTTGGCTGAGAAGGAAAGAGGTGGCACAGGGAATGGGCCATGGCAGTGTCCCTGCATGGGTGCAGGCAGGGAGGGGTGAGATGCCCCACAGCACAGGCACCTCCATCCCCCTCAGCCCCACAGTGATGCTCATCCTGCCCACGGGAGCCAGGTCATGGCACACAGGGAGCCAGAGGTGGGACCTCACAACCAGAGCAGCAGCAGAGCAGCTGACTGAGTCAGGAAACCACACTGGAGGGACCCCCAGGCCAGGTGGGGCCCTGGGGACCCCCGACCATGCCAGCTGGCACAGGGTTCGTGGGCGCTGCCCGCACGGATGAGCAGCATCACCGGAGATGCCCACGGACAGCTCCCCTCCCATAGACACACTCGACAGCTGCCTGCACTGCCTGGGGCAGCAGCAGCCAGCACGGTGCTCTGGTGCCCTCCAGGGCTGGGTGGAAAGCGGGGACGTGCAGGTGACCCCAGGGAGCCCAGCAGGACGGGGAGCCCAACAGCCTGATGTTCACCTGCAGCAAAGGGAAGGGACAAACAGGGGCACCCTCCAAAGCCTCTTTGGTGAGCGGGGGGCAGCACGGCCTTGGCGCTGAGTGTGGCAGTGGTGACAATCTCTGGCCGTCCCCTGCCCATCCCTGCCAAGCCCCCAGGGTGGGCTAGCCCTTCCATCCCCAGTCTGCACCCCCAAGGCTGTGCCAGGGCTCTCACCTGCTGCCAGCACTGCTCCTCATCCTGCTCTCCCCAGCACGTGGCACCTCCCTCTCCAACCTCAAATAACACCCATCCCAACTGGTTCCCTTTGCAACACCATCCCGTCCCACGGCTCTTCCCGCAGGGCCCAGGGTTTCCAGGAACAGCCAGGAAGCAGTGGCAGCCCTGTGGCAGCCGGGGTGCTCCGGGCCATCAGTCCCATTCCCAGGCTGAATCCCCTGGGGCCAGGGCTGGGATGAGCACACAGCCAGCCCGAGGCGTGGCACAGCCCAGCTTGCCAGTAGAGGACCCAAACTGCCGCCTTAATGGATGGGCTTAATTTGCAAAGCTGATGAAAACCTAAATATTTAAATACATAATTCTGCACAAATGCTCTTAGCGCAGGGATGGAGCGAGGGGGGGGGCACGGCTGGCGGGTGAGGATGTGGCAGGGATGGGGACACTCTGGGGGGACCACGTGGATCACCTGGGCACTGGCACCCCATTCACACACAGCCTCAACCCTGCAGGCTGCAGCACCCACGGAGCAGGTGCCGTGGGCTGCCCTACGAGGGGTGCTCTGCCTCAGGCATCCCAGTCCTTCTCCACCACCAGAAGTGTCCCACAGGGAGACGTGGGGATAAGGGAGCGTGGTCCAAGCCTGGGAGCTGTGAAGGGCAGCAGGATGGGCCCCCGTGGAGATTACACCACCGACATTCCTGCTACAACAGCTTAGAGATAAAAGAGATTTGCAGGATTTACCAGCAATACAAATGGAATATTTAATTTTAGCTGCAGGGGAGGAGTGGGGGCACGACCTGGGGGCGTGTGGAGGTGGGCCCGGGGCTGTCCTGCCTTTGGGGAGGCATTTCCAGCTCTTGGGAGAAAACTGATCCCAGGGCTGTCCCTGGGGCCTGGGGGGACCAGGCTGTGCCATGACAGTGGGACCGGGTTGCCCAACCTGCCCCTAATCCCACCAGCCCCTCTCCTGCACTGCCCAGCCTCTGCCAGCACATGGGACCTCCTGTGGGATCATCCCTGGATGAGCCACATGAGTGGCCCCAGTGCCAGGGATGCTTTGGGAGGACTCAGGAGGGGCCCTGGCCCCACACACCATCCACAGGCCAGCCCTGAGCCGATGTGGGGCTTCCTCACCGTGCTCCCCTCTGCCCTGACAAGTGTGTCCCCAGCAAGGCTGTTCCTGGGCAGGGATGTGCCTGGCTGAGGCCATTTGCCAGCCAGGGCATGGACTGTGCAGGGAATGGGGCTGGAGGCAGCAGGGGCCAGCCAGCCCCGAGCCCAGCACGGGGGTCCCCACGGTGTCCCCGAGCCAGGTGCCCGTCCTGCCTCACCTCTCGGTGGCCACACTGGCGCAGGTGCCGCTGTGGGGCGGGCTGGGGGAGGATGGCAGAAGATGAATGAGGGAGTCGGGAGGCTAATGGCATTGTCTGGAAAGTAGGTCGTGTGCTGAGCAAAAAGATATTTATATCAAAGCTCGTTCCCCCGCAGAAGCTCCCGAGCCGGGTGCAGGCAGCACCACGAGCCTGTGGCCACGGCCCTGGTACCCCATGACTCCCCACACCCCCACAGCACCCCCTGCCCAGCCCCACACCCAGCTCTGCCACGCTGGGCACTCGCTGGCCCCGGGACTGCCCCGCTCAAGGGGGCCAGAGGTAAAGTCACCCCAATGGAACGGGAGCCACGGCAGCTCTTTGCCTTTTGCTGACCTGGCTGCAGGTGCCGGCTGGCACTGGGCTATTTTTATTTTAATGCAACCCTTGCCAAGGTGTGACAGTGCCCTGGATGCTCCTGAGATGGGCACAGTCAGCCCAGGATGCCCACGGCGGGTCCTGCTCAGCCCAGCCCGGTGCCAGCTGTGGCACCATGGCCCCTCTCCCTGCAACCAGCCCTGGCCACGTTCCTCACATCCTGCGTCACTCCTGTCCTGAGCTTCAGCCACAGCTCAGCCTTGTTGCAAAGCTCAGCCACCTCCTTTCCTGCTGGGATGAGACCTGTGCTCCAGGCCCCCTCCCTCATGCCTCCAACCTTCCCAGAAAAGCCAAGGGATCATCCCAGTGAGCCCAGACGGAGCCAAGAGGTTTTGACCCCTCTGGCCGCGCTGCCCCAATGGTTGCAGACACAATCCACCCACCCAGCCCCGCTCTCCTGTCCCCATCCCCATCCCCATCCCACACCTGGCAGCCTGGGATCTGGCACGGGAGCAGGTTCATTTCCCGTCATAGCTGTGTCGGCTGAATTTACAGCCTGGCTCCAAGTTATTAATAATAATGGCCTCACTCTTAAGTAGGGCTTTTCATCTGCCTCGCAGCCCTTTCCAGAGGACGTCTGCAGCATTATCACCATTTTATTCTCGTTTCAGTGGGCACAAGAGTGAGATGGAGAAGGGGCAGCCGTGCCGGGCAGCTAAGGGGGGGTGTGGAGTGCGTGGTCCTGTGGGGAGCACGGCCACGAGCCCCCCTGGGAGGCTGGAATGCCGAGGCCGGGCGGATGCGGCCGCGGTGTGAGGCTCCTGCCGGCCGTGCCGTGGTGATTTACACCGGCAGCGAGCCCAGGCCCTGCCGCACGGATAAATCCACTCCAGGCAGCAATAAACCAGCATCACCGCATCGGTAATCCCAGCGCTCCCACCGCTGGGACAGATCCAGGGGCAACGCGCCTGTGCCGATAAATCCCGGTTCTGTGTCAGCAGGGAGGTCCCTGGGGGGGGGGTAAATTCCCAGCACAGCCGTGGCCGGAGGGGTGGGTGCCACTAGAAAGCCATGAGAGGTGCCAAGGGAGACCCAGGCACAGCACACCAGCCTGGGGATGGATCCAGCACATGGGATTGCAGCAGCCACGTGGGACTGGGGACATCCCCGAAACGCCCCCCACGTGTCCCCCCGTGGTGCCCACCGGCCCTGGGTACCTCCGGTGTGTCCCTGCCGTGTGCCACAGCGGGGCTCGATGGGCAGATTTATTCCCCTGTAAAAGAGCTTTGATCCGAAGTTATTTTTTGTTTACTAGCAACAAGGTATTGTAAATACATCTTTGCCGATAATTATAGAGTCTGGGCGCACACCTTAATCTCCATAAAATATCAGATGCTACAATTTGCCTGATTTAATGAGATCGGAGGCTGATAAGCCGCTGAGGTAAGCTGTAAACCTGGGGGGGAGGAGGGAAATGATTGCAAATGTGCTAAACCACCCTCGTCCTCCTCCTCCTCCTCCTCCTCCTGCTGCTGCTGCCACGTGCCCAGCCCGGGAGCGTGTGCCCAGAGCCGTAGCCCCCTGCCCAGCTCCCGGGGTGGGCCCGGGCTGTGCCGCAGCAGCTTCACGCAGGGATGGGCATTTAGGGCAAACAGAGCTTTTTATACAATTTACCTCATTAAAACTCCAAGAGCCGAGCGCGGCACCGGGCTGCGGCCAGGGGCTGTGCCTCGGCACACTCTGCGTCCCGTGGGCCCCGTGCCGTGCGGGGGGGTCAGCACAGCCCTGGTGCCAGGCTGTGGCACAGGCAGGTCCATGTGCTGGCCGTGGGCACAGCCGTGTGCCGGTGGAGGGGCGAGAACGGGGTCCCAGGGGGTGCGGGGGCACGGCCGGGCTGCCCGGGCAGGTGTGCACGCTGACGGATGCACACGTGTCCATGCGTGTCCATGCGTGTCCATGCGTGTCCAGGCGTGTCCAGGCATGCACAGCCCTGCCTGGCATCACCAACCATGCCAAGGATAAGCTGGTGTGGGGGGCTCGTGCTGGAAGGGGCATGAAGGGGCTGCACACCCTGCGTGTGTACAGCCGTGCTCTCACCGTGTCCCTCCCGCACACAGGGGTCTGTGGGGTCCCAGGTGCCCGGGGTGGGGGTCCCCCTCCTGCAGGGATGGGGGGGCCCTGCCTGGAAAGCAGGAGGCTCCTCCCGGTAACGAGCAGCACCGTTTCCACAGCAACCTTAAAGGCCCACAGCTGATGCCTCACTAACGGCCTGGCTGGTGCCGTTCCTGGGGGACACTGA